GAGCCGTGTGCAAAAACAAATGGACAAGGATCAGCAATGTGATGCAGAGGGTTAAGCGGCCACCTGGGAAGGCGCTTCACTTCCAAATCAGCTACCTGCTGATGTGCCTGGAAAGCTGAAGAAGATGGCCCGAGTCCTTAGATCCCCAGAATCTCGCTCTGTAGAAGGCCCAGATTTAATTCTAGATTTCTCACTTTGGTGTGGCCCAGCCCCAGCTGTAAAGGCCATTTGAGAAGTGAACCAGCAGATGGAAGACCTTACGATTTCTCTCTCTCTTTCCTTTCTTTCTGTAACTCTGCCTTCCCAATAAACAAACCTGTAAAAGGAATTCCAAGAGGCAAACAGCAAACTTTTTCTCAGTGGAAAAAGTACACAGGAGCTGGCTGGAATCTCTAATTATTGCAGCCCAGGCAGCATTTCTCCATGCCCAGCTCTTGGCTTACAGCATGAAGAATACTATGGAGATGAGGAGTACAGTAAAAAATTCCAATCAGGAGTTGAAGAGGAGGTAGTACAACCAGGCTTCCCTATCTCCCATCATTCTCAGAACACCAGGCCCAGAATTCATGCTCATGTTCTCAAGTCCAGGCCAGGTTTATAGTCACTTTTCAGGCTTCTAATGGCTCATTGATAAAACCATCATTTCTGCTTTTAAAGCCAGGAAAGAAGGCAGGAAGGCAGGAAGGCAGGAAGGCAGGAAGGCAGGAAGGAAGGAAGGAAGGAAGGAAGGAAGGAAGTTAGAAGAAAATGAAAGATATCTATAAAAAGGCCAGCTAAATCACATGAGGCTGGGAATGATTCATTGCTCATCCACTCTCATTGGCGTTGAATAAAATATCACCCACTGGAGGCTGGAACAGGAAGGGGCTTCAGGTCTGAGTTGCACTTGTTGGTCTTTTCACTTCTTAGATATTAGCCCTCTGGCAAATCATTCTACTTCTGCTGCACAACTGAAGAAGACAGTGTATGTCCTGGAACAGTGGTTGCCACTGGGGTCCATGAGTGTCTGAGGAAGGAGTGAATGGAGTGCTTTGTGTGTCTAGGATTAAATAACCCATCCCAGGTTTCTCAACTCTTTCCTTGAGTCACAATAAAAATACAATGTTGTCTTCTATAGCTCCATCACTGAACATCACAACCTGTCTGGGTTTTCTGATGTCTAGAAAGAGGAACTAGAACCTTGGAAACTCAAACTGGCAAGGGCACATTGTTTTTATCTTTGACAGTGGTGCTTAGTTTTGCAATCCAGATACTTATGCACAAGAAAGTTGGTCAGTTCTTATGGATGATATATAAAAACGTTTTTGTTTGTTTGTTTTGTCTAGGACTAAAAACATATGTATTTGCATCTAAAACAGAGCTCTAAGTATGCCTTAATCTCCTAAGTTTATTTTCTCTATTTCTTTTCCTGATCCAAAGATGGCACGAGGGTAGCCTGTGGGAAATATGACCTTTGCCTTGGGGTAGAAGGATGAGAGGGCATTCCACAGCAGAATGGGCCAATTTGTATGTGAGGCTGAGGCAGGTGGGTATGGAGAATACAAGCTACCTTGGTTTCCCATCTGTACAAGGAGCTGTCCTAACCAGGTCCTGGTAGCTGAGGGGCACACAGGCACCTGGTGCCAGCCTCAGAGGGCAAGCCATTGTGCTTATACAATTCTTCCCTCTTCAGTCTCTCCCCTTTCCCTAATGCAACCAGCACAGACAGAGGCAGTGTACCCCTAAGCCAACTCCTGTTCCCCTGACTCACACTGGAAACACTCTCATGCCATTCCAGTAACCAGCATATTTTAAAAACCTTGGGCACCCCATAGAAGCATTGCTGACTTTCTGATCGCTGGAAATCTTATTCCCCATAATAGAAAAAAAAATACACAGATTAATTTCTCTTTTTGTCAGATGTGTAGCAGCAAGCACATTCACATGGCTTGGAAACTTGATTCCAGATGCAACTTTGGATTTGAACCTCTGACTAATTAGAACTACATTTTATTTCCCCACAAGACTATAGCAAGATCTTGGATATTTATCCTGTCTCTTGGGACTTATTAAAACCAAAGAAACACTGAAAAATGGAGCGTCATCCATGTATATTCTATGCTGACAAACCCACAGAATTTAAGGCATTTTCTCAGAGGAAATGGAAACAATTCTAAACCAGGGATACTTTTGTTTCCTTTTCTTCCTGAATGGTAATTTTTGTTTGGGAAGGCTTCTGTGTCTACCAGATAGGAGGTAGTATCTGTGGCCTAAACGCAGCTGTCTAAACCTTGCAAACAGTTGGAATAGCAGGAGAGGAATTCTTGGTATCACTGAAATGGCAGAAACGCCAGGGGACCTCTTAAAGCAGGCTCCTCCATGAAGACAAAGGCCTTCAAGAGACAGGAAACCAAGCCCTCTGATCAGCCCTGGGTCAGCAGTTAGGACCGAAGGAGATGTTATTTTAATCAAATCCATGTAAACCATGAGTTAAATCATGAACTAGGAAAACTCCATTTAATCAGCTTTCAAATAAAAAGGTGCATTTTTGTTCTGATATACCTGACTCCATATTCTTCAAAATTCAAATGAGGATGGCTTTTACTTTCAGAATAGCCACATTATACATTTAGAGCAGTACTTTCTGGCAGCCATTCTCAGGACTAAATCCATAAAGAATTCTAGAAGATTCCATGTTAAAAACTGTTTTTAATGTTTCCTTTGTGTCCTTACTGCTTCTTCCTTTCTTCTTGGGACTTTTGCTTGCCCAGATTACTCTAATCTTAAAAACTATCTATTCATTTGTGTGCTTGGGACTTGCTGTTTTTGAAAAGAAAAGCAAGACAGAGTTGACTTATTTCCACAAACTACAATTAACAAGCACAGTTTCTACAGATAAAGCTCCAAGATGCAGAAGAGAAGCCAGAACTACTGGGGGAGGAGGCACATTTATTTTCACTTTGCCATCTTACCAAGACCGTTTTCACTGACTCTGACTGCCCCCAGTCTGGCCATGTGCCATCCATTCATGCCTGCAGTCAACATTCTCAGAGGGCCTACTGTGGGGCAGCACCAAGACTAGCACAGATTCTGACCTGACAAAGTCTATAGTTCATCAAGGAACACACAGATACTAGACAGCAACGGCTCTACAACAGCTCTGCCTACTTCCACAATGACAAAGCAACACCACCCACCAGCTGGTGGGGGGATACAAACACACCCAAGATGACACCCCTGGAAAGTCACATCACTTTCTTAATTATAAGACTTTTTAAGGAGGGCACACAAAAATACATCTCAAATACTCCATCAGTAGTGGCAATGAGAAGGCTCTGCATCCAGACAGAACTGATTGGGATCCTTGCTTCCACAGCAGTGTTTTGGGCCACTTAGGGCAAGCGACGGGGTTGTGCAGATGACTGCTGTATGGCCAAAATATAAAAGACACAAAGCACTCACTGTGCAAAGGTCTGATAAAGGCTGGAGATTCCTTTACCAATATGGGCACCTATACCAGCTCATCTTTTGACATGTCAAAACAAAGCCAATTTTCCAGAGTTCTGTATTGGCAAAAATGTTTGACTGAATGAAGAACTTTACAAATCACAAGCCCTATGACTTGTGTCATTTTTCTCAGGCTGGCCAACAGGTAGTACTACTGGCATAGCGGAGGCCTTCTCTACTTACACATTCTTCAGCAGATACATAACACAGAGGCAAAACAAACAAAAAATACATCTGTGCCCAGTGGTCTTCTTTCAGCATTAGAAAACAACCCTGGAACTGGAGCTACTGAATGGGAACTTTCAAAGCAGTGGCCTCCCTTAAGACAGGTCAAGTGCTCTGCCCTAGTCCTTATTTGGCTGCTCTGGTTCTGACCTGTCTGAGCATCCATAGGCACCCACACCACACAGCCAGGCACACTAGCTGTCACCTGTGGGAGATACTTCTGGCTGCCAGCACTGCAGCTCCAGGACCTCCCAGACAAGCTTTTGCCTCAAAAGCTCCCAGCCCACGGCTGGCCTCAGTAAAGAAACTTCTTTAGATTGGGGACCCACAGTCCTTTTTTAAGTTTGGGTATGAGACCGAAGTCAAATTTCAGAAAACTACATGTGGTTTGGGTGTTTTTGTTTTTGTTTAAATCAAAAAAAATGAATCGTTTTACTTGGTTCCAGGGGCAAAGGATCACTTCACCAATGAAAAAAATGAGACTTGGAGAGGAGAAATGCTTTGTCTTAGGACTTACAGCAAGCTAGCAGCAGAACTGAAGCAAGAGTGTACTTCTGTCATTCACGCTGAGCGCTGGTCCCACAGCCTGGGACCAGGGACACAGCGGCCCTTCCCCTCTTGTGCCTGAATTGGGCACAAGAACCGTGCACTTGGAAGAGCCTCCTGCACTGTCACCCCCAGGCACTCGCAGCTGCTCTACAGTAGACTGCCTAGCAGTGGCGCGGGCACCCAGAGGTTTCAATCAGGTTCAGGAGGGACACAGTCTGACTTCTGGGCTTCTGACTCTTGTGCTTCAGCAGACAAACCGAGGTGTGGGGGGAATTGGAAGTGGCCTTTCCTGTCTTTCTCACACTATTTCTTCAAGCCTACTAGATTTGTGGCAGCTGAAAAGCTCATCCCTGAAAACAGATCATAGGCGTGACGCAATAGCCTAATAGCTAAAGTCCTTGTCTTGAATGCACCAGGATCTCATACAGGTACTGATTCATGTCCTGGCTGCTCCACTTCCCATCCAAGTCCCTGCTTGTGGCCTAGGAAAGCATTCAAGGATGGCCCAAAACCTTGTGCTCCTAGCTTCTGGCTTCAGACTGGCTCAGCTCCGGCCATTGCGGCCACTTTGGGAGTGAATCATTGGACAGAAGGTCTTTCTCTGTCTCTCCTTCTCTTTGTGAATATGACTTTCCAATAAAAAAAAAATGACAAAATAAAGAAAAAAGAGATAACAGGCTATTCTGCAGCACTTAGGGGATTGCATGAGGTCAAAGGTCACTGTGTGGTCATAATTGTTCTAGAATAATATTTCAGAGTTTAATCCCTTGCTTAAAACAGAAGTCCATTTAGAAGGGATCTTGTTCAGAGAGGAGACTAAGGTCAAAATCCAAAACCTCACTCAGGATGCAAATTCATAATGAAATAATGCTAACATGTTGATGATGTTGATGAGTAGGAAGAAGCAAGGAAGAGGAGGATGAAGCAGCTCGAGTGGCCAAAGAATCCAGCAACATAACTCAGAACAGCTGAAAAATCATTCTCAAGGCCATGTGGCTGGTCAGAGTTGTGTGGGGGTAGACAGGGATCCCGAGGATCCTTGCATTTGAGATGGTGATCCATGATGTCTAGAAGACAGGGATCTTTCTGGAGAGCCTGGTTCATGGTCTGAGCTTCTACTGCCCCTTCTGTGCAGCTGTATCAGACTATGTCACAGTTCCTTGAGTACTCATCTGTCACAGTCATCTTTGCCTCAAGAGTCCAGCAATGGTGTCTGAACTTGCTAAGTGAATACAAGAATGACCTGCCTGTTACACAGTAGTTAAAATTACAAGGCACAAAGAGGGAGGTGAGAAACAACAGTCATTGGAATAGATGAAAAATCAAGAACGAACGGACTAGTGGGTTCCCCCTGAGTCAGTCTGACACTGTCCCTCCCCTTACCAGCTTAACAGTGCATCGGCTCTGGTTCCACTCTATTTCTGGCTTCGGGAGATAGACTTTACAGCATAAACATATGTGCCCATCATTGCCAAAATTTTTACAACTAAGGGAGAAAATAGTAGGTTCACGTAACTGAGCTAAAGTTTGCTATTTTATATTAGAGTTTCATCCCTCAGAATTGGCAATCCCAAATTCAAAACAGACTTCATCTTGGATTCCAACAGAAAACACTTTGCTCTCAGAGCAAAGTTAGTCAACTTGCCTTTTCCGCGTCTAGATCAGCATCCTGCTTCTTCAAAACACTGTAGAAGAAAAAAAAGTGAAACATCAAAAGAGACCCCAAGCACTCTCTGCCTATAAACCACCCACAAAGTACCACCACAGAATTTCCATTTGTTGCAGACAATCAATCTACTTATACTTTTTTTTTCACATTCACATGATTGATGCTAAGACACAGTTGCCACAAACACCTGCCTGAAACTACAAAGACCTGGCTCTGTACCACCAAAGAAAGACAGCATGCAATTTAACCCCCAACTCCCCACACACTTCCTTTCTTCAGAGTCCCTACAAGTCACCATGGTTGGGGAGCTTTAAATGTGAGTTCTCCAAGGTCTCACCCCACTAACGACCTCACTGAAATCTGCCTCCCCCAACCTTGCCCCAGCCCATATCTGCGCTCACTCCTAATTTGAATATGAGTAGGTGTCACCATCCAACTGGCCTTTTTGGTATGACCCCTGTTTCCCATCAGCTGTGGTTGCCTTCTGCATGGGGTGGCTATCGCCCAGCCTTTTGGAACTACTTGTGTATCTTGTGCCAAGCCCTTGGCAAGGCTGAAGGCTGATTCTGCTGGCACTCATGCCCACTGCGTAGCAATATTTCGAGTGCTGGGAGTGAAACAGCAGATTTCCAGTTTGCTCATGCACTCGGCCTACAACCTGCCAACATAATGGTATCTCGGTGTGATTTGCAATTTCAGCTGGTTTGAATAAAGCGTCCGTGTTAATAAGGTGTCTAAAGAAACAATGAAAAATGGCTGGATTGAATTACGTTGACAACAATACACTAGGGCAGAAATGGGGAAGTTTGAGCTGAGAAATCTGAACACAAAAGACAGAAACAAGTTTTCTTGTGTGGGGACTCTCACACTTTTTCAAGATGACTCTTAGAACCCTTCTTCTTGGCACATGGTTTAACACAGACTTTTATAAATGACCTTCCCTATGAAAACCATCCTTTACCACACAACACACACAAGTGAATTTTTGCACTGTTGGAAAAGATGCATAATTAATAGTAACATCTTTATTTTGTTTAGTCAAGGATGACTCAGAATGAAGGAAAGAAAACAAAAATGGCCATGGGAAGAGAACTAGAAGTCATATAGTATGCTCTGCAGATGGACATGTAGATCATGAACTCACTGCAGACAAGCGTGCTATGCAGGGGTCGGCGAGGCAGTGTGCCGGGAAGCCAGCTGCCACAGCATGCGCCTCAGCAACCCATATCAGCCTCTCTCTTTACAGCCTCAGAGACTTGCTTTCTTCTTTCTACCAAGCAGACTCCTGGCTCACACACCGGTTGGTGCCCAGAAAGTTTCACTTGCCCCCTATGTTCAGTAAAGAGCAATTCAGCACAAGAATACCTCTGAACCACAAGGAAGTGTTTCCTCTGCTGGTTCAACTTGTGTTCTTAAACACAGCTATGGAGGTTTCAGAGAGTTGTTCTGGTTTATGGATCACAAGGAGTGCTGTGCGCGAGGCGAAAGAGTCCTTCGTTGGCCACACAAGCATAGCTCTTGCAGAACCACTTTCCCAGTGTATAGGTGAAATACGCCTGGGTCATGCCTACTGCGCAATGGCAAAAACCGCACTTTATGTCAGATTGTTGAATAAGGAGACTTTACTGCAAGCACTTCCGCTCCTTGCATCAACAGCAAAAAACCCTGAAAATCCACTTGGAGCTACTTGGAGCTACTGGCTCACCACTGTCCAAAGAGTCTCAGCCACCCATCCATGTACACAGCACCATCCAATTTCTTTTTCAGGCTTCCTGAACAGATGGTGTTAACTATCAAAGACTACATACATGTATCATTTTGGAGTCATAAACCAAAAGGATGCCAGAGTTTTAACTTCAAAGACTCCCAGCAAGACAGCTTGAGGTATTTTTAGGCTCAATTGTTTCAAAGAGGATAAGGATGGATGAAATAGAATTGCCTTAAAGTAAAATTTACATGGCAACCCCATCTAGAATGAAAAAAAAAGTGTTTGTCTTTTGATCCATTTACATCTTTCTTAAACAAAAGCTATGTTTCTGAAAAGTCGGGAATAACAGTTGGGAACAAACATTTTTGGTCATTAAATATTTAAATGAAACAGACACTTTATTTAAATGACTCATTTAAAAAGATCACTTGAAATGGATCAATTTCTGTTTTTTACTCTAAATCTAACTTCTGGAAAACTGTAATTTTGGCACTCCAAGATTTTAAGGCAAAGCAGGCCCATTTGTCTTGTGTGTGTGTTTGTGTGGGTGTGTATGTACGTGCGAGCATACACACGTGTGTACAGAGTGGCATGTGTGGCTCTACAGACCCTTCACATCGCTGTCTCTGTATTCAGCTGTGGCCCTGGTTCATCACAGCCCCTCCCACGCATTTCCTCTTCCTGCTGAGGGGGCATTGACCTTGTGTTTGGGAGACACAACGAAAGAAATGCAATGCCCCAATGGGAAAGGCTGCTCTGTAAATGTTGCTAGCACACAGCAGGAACGGAATGACCCACTCCCAACTGTTCAGATCAGCATGACCCTCCCCCGCTGTGGGAGAATATACAAACACTCTAAAAATACAACAAAGAGGCCCTCAACTTTGAACTCTCCAGAACTATCCCTCCAGCCCTTACTGCACTCATGTTTCCAAATGCCCATGAGACATTTCCCCCTGACCTCAGAACAGACAGAGCAGTAGAAGGAGGAACGAGGCTACAGGCAAAGGGGGCATGGGGCACATGTTCTGAGGACATAACAGACTTTGCAGTGCTCCATGAAGTGGATAAGATGATGACTTAGGCTGCAGGGAAGAAGGCAGGGTACATGGTAGAGGCCAACCTGCAAGACATTAGCCAGAGACAGAAGCGCTCACACACTGTAGCACGATATTTCCATTCTATGCCATGAAGGGGCAGAAAAAGAAGCAACCTGCAACATATTCCTGGCTCTGGAGCAGGAATAGTCATTGCAAGCCCACCAACATGGCTGGTAAGTCAAACTTTCCCCTTAGGGGGCCTTTGGGCCCCAGCTCAGAACCACCCTTCATCATTCTTGCTTTGTTTTGCCAGCTCTTCTGTGCATGACCAGCTTCCCCTCTGCTGTGCTCCCACATGACTTTACTGCGGGGTCAGTCTCACTACCTCCTCCTAGACCATCAGCCCTTCTGTAGCCTTCAGCCTGGTGCCTGAGGCAAGCACACAACAGTGGGGCCATCTCTACTGCTGGATGAGCAATAGGATTGAAAGGAGTAGCAGCTAACTAATAAAGCCACGCCTTTCAAGCCCAGCCCATTGTCTGCATGTCCAGAAAACTGTGTGTGTGTGTGTTTGTATGTGTCTACGCACGGTAGACACATAAAATAAAGCATACATGGGTTCATGCTCATGGAAAATATGCTTTAAGAAAAAATTATCTACTATTTTTTGCACTAATATAAACATCTTTTCATGCCATTACCCCCATAAACTTTCTTTTTAAAGATGTATTTACTTATTTGAAAATCATAGTCATGGGGAACAGCAGGGGTGGAGAGGGAGAGATCAATTTTCTGTCCACTGGCTCATTCACTCCTCCAGATGACCACAATGGCCAGGCCAAAACCAAGAGCCAGAAGTTTCTCCCAGGGTTTCCATGTAGGGAACAGGGGCCCAAGTGCTTTGGCCATCAAGTACACTTGAGTGTAAGCATATCTTACATACAACATGTGCAATGACCTTCTTTAAGTTCATTTTAAGTCCTTAGCTGAATACAGGACAGAGATTCATTTTGTGGCTTATATTATAATTTTTTTTCTTAAATATTGCTCAGTGTTCCTTGTTATTTTATCACACACAACTGAGAAACTGAGATTTGATACGTAGGGATCATAACCACTTCTCACATGTGATGACGGTTTAAGGGCCATGACAGACACACAATTTAAACTGTGACTTGGGTCTTTGCTCAACTAGTTTTAAAATGGAAGACTGGGAGAAAAATGAGGTAGATTTTTGCTATAGCATCATCTTTATTCCAAACTTGGCCCTTTCTGCTCCTTGCAAAAGACTTAAAATATTCACCAACCTGCCAAAGAACAACTGCACACTGCCGAGCATGTCTTCACACATTCACATCTCAATGGCTTCTTTCTGCTCCAGTGATCACAGCTCAATTCAATCGCAACCACAGTGAGAACCTCAGAACTGTATGTGGTGTAGTGTCAGTGGCAGCAGTGGATAAAATGGACATTGGACAGCGACTTCCATATCAAGCATGTCGATGGGGACAAGTGTAACCTCGGTTGTTATTAGCTTGGGACCCAAGGCACAAAAAAGACCAGGCAGGGCCAGACTCTACTGTGATTCCAAAGAAAGCTAAGACACTCACAGAGCACACACAGAAGCCCCTCAATGCTCTCTGGCCAATGAGGCGGCCCCTGGCTCCCTGCCCAAAGCCCAGGAACAGGCTCACTCTCACTGGCCTCTGCAGCTGCACACAGGCATGCAGTGTGTGGGACCCTCCACGCTCAGAGTCACCACAGTCCCCTGGGTGTTCAACAGCCGAGTCAGGCCTCAGGGACAGACCCCAGCCCAGACAAGGCCCTCTGTGGTAGAGGCTTTCTAGTCTCATTCTCCCAGGAGATAAATCTACCAGCAGCCATTCATTCTGGAGCCAAACTAATACATTATCCAGTGCCCTCGGTATGTACAAACTTTCTAAGAAAGCTAGAGACAGCAGCCAGTGCAAACTTTTCTCTCATCTTAGCCAGACCTGGTCAAGGCATGGAGTGGGAAGTGTACATGTCAGATGGTGATGGGCTCAGGGCACTGACACCCCTGGGCCTTGTTCAGTACTTGTCACCAAGGGCAGAGCATAGTGAAGAACATCAGTGGTGGCCAGGGGGGATAAATGCCCTGTGCCTCTCACATAGCAAGGGGTAGACAGTCATTTCTGTACTACCGTCTCATTCATTTTCATCTTATATTAGTTTTGTCTTCACCTCATTAAAAACATGATACATACCTGATGGGAATTTTGGAAACAG